CCAAAATGTTGTTACCATTCTTGTGCTACAGTTTTACAGAAAAGACTCTATCACTGCCCTGGCCAATAGGGAGCTCACGTGCAGATAGTAAATCAGAATTCAATAAAATTAAAAATTCAGGGCAATGCCTGTGGCTCAGTGGGTAGGGCAGTGGCCCCATATACCAAGGGGGCACGTTCGAACCTAGCCCCAGCCAAACTGCTACAAAAAAATTGCTGGGCATTCTGGCGGGCACCTGTAGTCCCAGCTACTTGGGAGGCTGAGGCAAGAGAATCGTTTAAGCCCAGAAGTCGGAGGTTGCTATGAGCTGTGACACCACAGCACTCTACCAAGGGCAATAAAGTGAGACTCTGTCTCATAAAAAAAAAAAATTAATAATTCAGTTTCTCAATCCCACTACCCATATTTCAAGAGCTCCTAGTTACATGAGGCCAATACCAGACATATGTGGCTCCTGTACTGGATAGCACACAAATATAGAGAATTTGCACAACCACAGAAAGTCCTTTTGGACAGTACTGCCCTAAAGTCAACTATTACTTAACTGTCAAGGTGATTATTCTAACATAGCACAAAATGAGAAGAGTACTTGTAATTCTTTCTGCTAAAATTCAATATACCTCATAGGTGTTTACAGAAAATGGATTATTGGAGATAGTTGTACTCTTCGACTTCGAAAAAGTCCCATCATTCTAGAATGAGTTTACAATTTTATCCCTACAGTGCTCTTCACTCAAAGTCACTGTACAACGCTCATGCCTGTAATGCTAGCACTCTGGGAGGCCAACGTGCATGGATTACCTGAACTCAAGAGTTCAAGACCAGCCACAGCAAGAGTGAGACCCCATCTCTATTAAAAATAGAAAAACTAGCCAGGTGTTGTGGAAGATACCTGTAGTCCCGGCTACTCAGGAAACTGATGCAGGAGGATCACTTGAGCCCAAGAGTTTGAGGTTGCTGTGAGCTATAGTGCCATGGTATTGGCGTCATAGCACGTCATTGTTACCCACACCAGAGTGACAGAGTGAAACGCTGTCTCCAAAAAAAAAAAGGTAAACCAAAAGCCTGTACCCTTGGTTCACACTGATGCTTGGTACATATACACTCAGACTTGATTTATAGTGCCAAACTATTTTTCCTCATCTGAATAGTTATTTGAATCAGGTTATATTATTTTAATCATTACTCTTACAATTTTTTTTCCTGGTCTACAAAGCAAGAGTTAAAAAACTCAAGAGAACCCTATGGGAAAGGCTGAACTTTATTTCATATTCACTGACCTCATCGGTTTTCACTAATTCTAACTTGAAATAACTCACGTACTCCAAAAGCATAAAGGAAATCTCCAATACACAATGAAACTGAAAGCTTTATTCCATCGATGCATAGTGAAGTATAATATTAAGGCCCAGTATTTAATCAAGATAAGTCTGTATAACTCCACCCTTCCTCATTAGAGAGAATGGTACTCATATACCATTAAAAGGACAACAGCTCTAGAAACCCACAGAAGGAACAATGTCATTAAGTGCTGCAATGGGGTTAAATCATTCCATACATATGCACAAGTGACTGCAAATGTAACGCATATACTGATTCTCACCAATTTCTCCATCTTGTCCAAGTTTAGGAATGCTAATAGACGTTTTGGTCTCCATTTCTATTTTCTTCTTAGTGTCCCCTCTCTTTCCAACTATATGCCTATAATATTAAAAAAATTAATTTAACAGAAGGCAATTAAAAAAAATATATAAAGTATCCCATCATGTTTAAATCCCTTATAGTAAAGAGATACTCCCTCACAGAAAAGTCCTTCAGTAAAAGCTCAATATTTGTGGAGGAAATTATAAGTCATCTAAGTTTATAGATCACATTGCATTGAACTCATTGGCAAAAGCTTGCCATATAGCCAATTCAGTGTACAGATAGAACCACCATACCAAGCACCTGTTTGTTTCTCAAAACTAGATTTAAAACCAAGGTCTGCAATTCAGTGACAGGAAAACTGACATAGTCTCAGGCAGCACTTCCAACAACTGATGGGTCTATCATTTGAGAGGAAGAAAACCTTGCTCATTTTGGAAAACAAGTTAAATATATTATGAATTCATCCTAAGGGAATTATCTTTGATCCATTAAACAAGCATAAACAGCAAAGAGCAGGATTTACCACTCAGGACAGATTCAAAAGCATGGGGGAGTAAACAGGTAACCATTAGGCTGAATTCAACAAAGGGAATGTTTTACTTGGAAGATGTTGTGTAGAAAGTTGCATGGTACAGTGCCACAGAGATTAAGACCTGCAATGAAACTGTAGGCGAACAAGGAAGGCTGTAGCTCTCTCAGGGCATGCAGCAACTTTATTTCTTCCACCAAAGCTTATATAGGCAATACTACACATACACACATGACTTCAACCTTAGCCCCAGGCCTCTCACTGCCTGGCGCCTACGGGTCTAGGATTAACTGATAACCACTTCACTAACATTATCTAAAGTTATTCTTATCCTAAGTAATCAAAAACAAAACCACAAAACAAGGTTCTGAGGAAGTAAGCTGTTTGAATGCTTGACCTTTAACAGACCATCTGGAGGCAGTCATTCATCTTTAGGGAGTAGTCTGGAAATTCCTGAGATATACAGGTACCTGCCTACAGACCTGCCCCCATGAAGCCAGGTCTTTTTTTT